CTTTTTATCTTTAATATAAAATCAGAAAATAAATAAAAAAATGATAAAAATAAATTTTTTTAAAGTTTCCCAATTCTCTCATACATCTGTATAACCTTAGTCCATGCAACTGTAATTTAGAAACTACACTTAACATTTTTTCAATACCTAAAGACTTCTAACCTCGTGTTGTAAACAACTTTCAAATTGCACATGCATAAATTTCTTCTGATACAATTAGTGAGAGAATATTCTGCATTCAGTTTAACACATTCTTGAGCATGATTGTATTTATACGTGGCATTTGTTAAAAGTAGGATTACAATAAATAATGTATTTAGAATAGGTAATTCAAATTGTTCGTGAAGTGTTAATAAATCGAATCGAATTTAATTCGAACAGGTTTTAACGAATAGTTTAAATATGAGGCTATTTTTATGTTTGACTAATGAATATTTAGTACTTACTTATTTTTTTTTTACAAAATTTAAACAGGTTTATGGCCAATGGTATCATTAAACGAATTAGCAATGGTTCGAATGAACTGTTAAAAATCAAATTATTCCGGAACCGATTGATCATATTCACATTCTTATCAATAGGAGCAGTTGATAAATGTTTGGAATGACACGCTGTTTATGTCTCATTTATATAGATTTATGTCTAATAAAAAAAAAATCTGTGTAAATTGACTCGTTTTGTATTAATGTTATCGAGTAAATTACACTTAAAATATTATTATTATTATTATTATTACATGTAATATTTAGTTATGGCTATTTAATTTTAATAATAATGATCTCGTATTAACATTTTCATTAAAAAAAAATATTATTATTATTCATAATATAATAGCTAAATAAAAAGTATTATTAATGTTAAGTTAATGTAAGGGTATGAATTAAAATTTTTATTGCTTATTATAAATTATAATGTAATATTGTTTTAAATAAATAAATAAATAAAAAAAAAATTAAAAGAATAAATTATAATCTAACGATAAAGCAGGGTTGGAATTTAAATT